GTTAGCTGATGGTTCCACCCTTGAGGCTTTTACAGGAGACTCTCCCCAGCTTGGTCAGGAAGTTCCTCTGCTTCCACTGCGCGACACAGTCCTCGGAGACACGGAAATCAGCCTGGGGGCAGAGCAGGGAGGCGGGATCAGCAGTGGGGCAGCAGCGCCCAGCTTTGCTGACAGTACCAACCCTGGGCACCGAGGGGCAAACAGCCAATGTGGGCTCACCCAGAGGTGGGGGCACCCTAAGCACTGCCCCAGTCGATGCCTGGAGCCCCAGGCATGCTGAGCCGCTCCCAAACCCCTCACCTGCAGCTTCTCAAAGACCTTCTTCTTGGGTTTGAGCTCCTCGTCGGGCTCCCCGCCCTCATAGCCCTCCACGTAGACGCGCTCCCCAGCACAGCACCCAGCTGGGGGGTCCAGGGGCTCCACCTGCCGGGGCTCCCCCACGCTGAAAGACAAAGCAGAGTCACCCCAAGGTGGTCCCCACCTGTCCCTCAGCACCCCAGGGCAGCAGGGGGTGGTCCAGATTACCCTCTCCCACATTGGTGCCCCCATCCCTCCCTCACCTGGAGGCACACAGCACCATGCCCTGAGACTCCACTCCCCTCATCTTCTGGGGCTTGAGGTTGCAGAGGAGCACCACGAGCCTGTCCTGCAGCTGCTCCTTGGGCACGAACTGCACCAGGCCGCTGACCACGGTGCGGGGCTCGGCCTCGCCCACGTCGATCTTCTCCACGTACAGGCTGTCTGCGTCGGGGTGCTGCCAGGGGAGGGGCAAGGGTAGGAATGGGGTGGCACAGGAGGGGGCAGACCCTCCCACACCCCCCCAAGTGTTCATGTGGGGTGGTTACTCCCCTCCCCCACTCCTCGCTGTACCTTTTCCACGCTGATCACTTTGCCCACGCGTATGTCCAGTCGGGATGGGATCACTTCCTCTGGCTCCGAGTTCTTGGTGCCCTTCTCTCCAGGCTCTGCAGGGCAGAGGGAATGGTCACACCACTCAGCATAAACCCAGGGAGCCGGCCAGGCCCTGAGGAGCACAGTCACCCCCAAATGCAGATCCTGGGGGGAATTCCCTGCAGGGAATTCCCTGCTTGTCTCTACACCAGGGAGCACAGTCCATCCTCTGCTGTGTTGCCCTCTCAAGCACCAGAGCAGCATCTCCAGAGCAGGCAGACAGCCCTGGCATTGGCCTTCCTCAGCTCTCCCAATGTTCTCCAGGGCTGTTTCTGAGACTGAAGTTTCAGAACTTCTCCCACCCAGCCCCACGTGGTCAGGGCCCCACTTCCCTCAGCTCCCAGCACTTCCTTACTGGCTTTGGATGGGTTGGGATATGCAGCACTGCTCAGCTTCTTCAGCTCTGGGCTGTTGAACTTCTCTCTGATGGGGTCAAGCAGTTTGTTCAGGGCCACCTCCACAGAGTTCTTCAGGTCTCCGGGGTGCACGACCTGTGCGTGACAAACACGTTCCTGTCTGAGGGCCAGGGTGGGAACTGGAGATGAACCCCAACCCTTGGACATCAGAACCCTTCTTCTGGACACTTCTGCTTCCACTTGGGAACAGCTGAGAAGGGTTTAAACTGCTGCTCTGTTCCAGGACAGCTGGTGTCCCTACATCCTTCACCCCTCCTCTCCCGGGAGCACCCCTGTCACTGGGTCACACCCCACACCTCTTTACCCAGTGTAAATCTCCATCTCCCAGTGCTGCTCCCAGACTGCTCATGGGAGCCTCAGGCAGGGGGAGAAGGTTCAGCCCCTCCCAGCACTCACCTGCTCAGCAAAGTCCTTCTCCAGGGCCTCATAGTCCGTGTAGGTTTTGTTCCCTCCCCACTTCTCTTCTCGCAGCACCACAAACTCTGTGACGCACAGATTTTAAGGCTCAGATTTGCTCAAGGCTCAGATAAAACCCCCTGCCCCACCCCACCCAAGGTGGGGACCACAGGCTGGGGAGGTGGCACTCGGGGGACACACTCCTGTCCCTTCCTCCACAGGGAAAACACCCCCCAGGCCTGGCGAGCCCTCACCTGACTTAAGGGGGAAGAGGACGTGCTTGATGAAGGAGAGCACACCGTTGTTCTCCACGTTCCCTGGCTCACAGAAAGCCTTCTTCAGCTTCTTCTTCACATCCTCCTTGCGGTCCAGGAGATCGATCTTCGAGTCCTGCAGCAAAAGATTTCCTCAGCCCCCTCACCCAACGTTTTGCCCAGAGAAAACTCACGAGGGAGTCACTGCAACTTCTTAGGACCCCGTGTGGGCTGAGAGGTCACCTTGCCTTGGAGTGCAGCCTCTCCACCCCCCCAGCCATCAACCTGCCCCTCTGCACCCCCCTGGCCCAGCCAAATCAGGCACCAACCTCCTCTGAGGAGCTCATTTTGCTGCCTGTCAGCCCAGGAACCATCGGGTTCATCAGATGGACACGCTTGGCATAGCCCAGGGAAGGGAGGTACTGGGAAAAGGCAAAGAAAGAGGCAAGTCAGGGGCAATGCTCATCCAAAGATCACCTTTCACTCACAATCCCTGCTTGCTCCTGGCTCCAGATAACTTTGGAATCTGGAATAACAGGACCCAGAGAGCCACTGTGAGCTCCCAGGGCACAGAGAGGCACAGCCAGGGATGAGCAGCCACACACCAGAGCCCTGCAGGGCAGCAGCACAGAGCACTGTGGTGCCAACCCAAACCCCCCCACACCCTTCTCCCAGAGGATCAGCAAGTGTCCAAGCCCTCCCTCAGGCCCCAGCACGGCAGAAACCACTCCCACCCATCCCATTCCTGACCTTCTCTGCGAAGGTGAAGATCTTCCTCTGGTCGACCCCTCCGAACTGCGCGTCCACCTTGAGATACTCCTCGTCCAGCGCCTGTGGGGACACACAGAGCCCTGAGGCTGGGCCCAAAATGCCTCACTCCAGCTGTGCTGAGGTCCTGCCCGTCCCTCAGCCTCTCCCAGGGCGCTCCCACCCTGGGAAAGGATGGGAATGCTCAAAGGTGGGATGTTGGGGTGGAGAGGAACGACCCGGCCGCCCAAACCCTCACACCCCCGCGGTCCTGGTCTTGCCAGGGAAGCCACTCAATTGAGGCAGTCTTTGAGAAACAAGAGGTTGCCTCAAACACAAAATTGTGGAAGTAGTTTCAAAACCCTAGCATTAGGAAACCACAGAAGAAGTAATAAATTGTCTGAGGAACAGAGCATGTTGACAAGATAGAACATTTAAAGCATAAAACGAAGAGATAGCAACATCAGCAAATCTTAGGACGAGCCAAAAGTCAACCCGACCCTACCACACTTGCCAACTATCCAAATTAGGGAAAGATTTGAGGAAAAAGTTCGAAAGTTTACAACGAAGAAGACCAGCAAACGACCCCTGCCCATGATGAAGGCTGCAGGAACTCCCACCTCTAAACCTCCCCAAATTGAAGACTCCGCCTATATAGGAATATTACAAGTAGATGCTGCAATTTAACGAATATGCATGTTTAGGATGTAATTTTATGCTCAAAACTGTATAAAAGAACTATGCTGATTGTACACGACAGAGTTCTTTGTCCAGGGCGACCTGGGGACTCTCCAACGCGTTGCATTAAAATACCTCCTGCTTTAAGGAAACAAATCTTCGTCTCTAAAGCGGTCTCTCTGTGCTTTTTGGGGCAAAAATTCGGCTTCACCAGCACCTCCCTGGGCAGCCCCTGCCTCACCTGCAGGCCTGGGTAGAGCAAACCACTCAGCAAGGGGTGCTCCACCTGCTTCACCACCTCCGCCCCGGCCTTCTTGGCGTCGTGCTGCGTCACCAGCGAGGACAGGCGGTACACGTCCAGCGTGTATTCCCTGTGGGAATGGCACCCCTGAGCCCACCTGGCACGGGGGGCATCTCCTCACTGAGAGGAGACAAACCCCTGGAGGCAGCCCAGGAGCGGGGCAGGGGCAGGAGGAGGCCAGGACTCACTTGCTGAGCTGGTAGTCGGTGCCTCGGACGAACTTGAGCCTGTCCAAGGGCACCCCGATGCTCTCCAGCATGGCCTTGATCACCTGCTCGTAGTAGCGGGTGCGCAGCTCCAGCAGTTCCCAGGGGGCCTTCATGTTGTCCAGGTAAGCGTGGAGGTCGGCAAAGAGGATTGTCACCTGGCACGGAGGGTGAAAGTCACTGCCAGGAGTCCGGAGAACCCTCCTCCCTCCCGTCCCCGGGGCGTGGGGTGCCGGTGTGACCCCCTTACCTCACAGCCAGCCTTCAGGAAATCCGCGATCTTGGACATGGGCACGAAATAGGCCACGTGGGGCTTGCCGGTGGTGGCCGTGCCCCAGTAGATCTTCAGGTCGCGCTCCTTCAGGATGGCCATGAGTTTATCCTCGCCCAGCACCTCCTGCGGGGGGCGGGGGGGGGACACACAAAACATGCACATCTGGCACAGCTGGGGAGGGCAGCGCACACCGCGTGTCCCGGGGGTGCTGCTCGTTCCAGGGGCTCATCCCCGGCTCTGATCCCCCCGCATCCCTTCCCTGGGCCCCGATCCAGCTCTGATTTCACCCCGACCCCCCCACTACGGATCCGATCCTGCCCCCCGCTCCAGCCACGGTCTCCCCGGAACCTGGACCCTGTCCTGCCCCCATCCCTCCTCCCCAACCCCTATTCCTGCCCTATTCCCCGCGATCCTGCCCCGATGCCCCCTCCCCGTTCCCCACCCACCTCCCCGGTACCTGCAGGTTCCGCGTGATGAGCTGATACTTCTCCTGCGGGCCGGGCGCGGGCTCCATGGCGGCGGCTGCGTGGGCAGGACAAAGCGTTACCGGAGCCCGCACCGCCCCAGGACCCCCTAAAAGCCCCCAAAATCTCCCCCCTCTCCCCCCTTTCCACCTCCCCGTCCCCACCGACCTGCCCCGGGTTGCATCAGCCCCGCTCGGCGCTCGGCTGGCAGCGCCTGGGCGGCACGATCGCCGAGCTGCCGATGGGGAGGTGAACGGCGGGCGGGGGGGGGGGGGTGCCGCTCTCCTCCAATCAGAGGGCTCCTCGCGCTGGAGGGGGTGCCGCTCTCCGCCAATCAGACGCCGCCTGGCGCCCGCGGGGGGCGTGGCCTCAGCGCCGTTAAGATGGCGGCGGGTGAGGGCCGGGCCGCGGCCGCTGCTCGGGGTCCTTTATTATCTCCTCTCTCTCCTTCGTTTGGGGTGTTTTGCCCCTTTCCGCGGCGCTCGGGGAGCGGCCGGAGCCCCCGGCGGGCTGCGAGGAGGAGCAGGAGGGTGTGGGCTCGCCCCCAAAGCCCCGCCTTGGGGCGGTGCCCGTTGAGGCGCCGGTTGGGCGGTGCCCGCTGGGGAAGGGAGGGAGGAGGGACCGCTCCGTGAGGGGCTGGTGGTGCTGTCAGTGCCTTCGAGAAGGAAAGGCTCCAGGGAGACCTTACTGCAGGTTTTTAAGTGCCTGAAGGGACGCCAGGAGAGGGACTTTGGCAAAGGGATGGAGCGACAGCACACAGGGAATGGCTTCCCACTGCCAGAGAGCAGGGATAGATGGGATATTGGGAAGGAATTCTCCCCTGTGAGGGTGGTGAGGCCTTGGCGCAGGTTGCCCAGAGAAGCTGTGGCTGCTCCTGGATCCCTGGAAGTGTCCAAGGCCAGGCTGGAGCATCCTGGCCTAGTGGGAGATGTCCCTGCCCATGGCAGGGGGAGGGACTGGATCATCTCTTAAATTCCCATTTCCGTGGAGTAAATCCTTGCACAGCCCCAGAATTCCCCACGCTGCTGTGGGAATGGCTTGGGAATTCAGGCACACAAGTTCCCCGAGTTGTGCTTCCAGAGTCCTTCATGCAGGGCTGGTTGGTGGAAGATGTCCCTGCCCATGGCAGGGGGTTGGACTGGATGATCCTCAAGATCCTTTCCCAAAGGACCCAAACCACCCCACGATTCCGTGGTTAGGAGCTGCATTATCGGGCTGCCACACCCCATTGGACCAAATCTACGTTCAATTCGGGTTTATTTGTGATTTTCTCGGAGCACTCGGGTGTAAATTGCAGCATTCCAACAGCACCGGGGCTGCTCCTGCTGCCTCCACGTGTTCCTGTGGGGGGTTTTGTACACACACAGCTCATTCCCCAGGTGGTTTTTCCTACAGCATCATTCTGAAAGTGCCCTGAAATTTTTATTCTTTAGGCAGAATGACAAGAGGAAGCAGCAGAAATTGCCAGGTTTTATCCCTGAAGTTGCACACACACACACACACACACACCTCCCTTTTTTTAAGCAGTAGGTAGTCAAAGCAACAGGAAGGCAAAAAGACATTCCTTTAAATCCTTGGTCAAAAAGAGGACAGGAAATACCTTTCCTTAGTCCAAATCCTCCTGCTGGGTGAGAGTCAAGTGCAGGGCTTTCAGGTCCAAAGATTCCTGTTGGGAAGAGTCCTCCCTGGGAGGAAAAACACTATTTGTTTGTGAATGCTTGGAAACCATTGAATTTTCCGGGAAAGGTTCCTTATCCGGGGAGGATCTTGGATTGTGATGTGTGTTTTGTGTGAGTGTCTCGGTGATTAATCCCCTCCTGAATGTCCCCTCTGCTCCCTGATGGGGTTTTTTTCCTGACCCCCCTCCCAAAAAAAAAAAAAAGAGACTTTTCCCCGTGTTTATTTGTGTCTTTGCAGGGTGGGGCTTGAGACACTGGGAGGTTTTATTTAATACCTGAAGTGTGAGCTGGGGTTGTGAGCTGGGATTCCTGGGCTCTGCTGGGAGTGTTTTGCAGCGGTTTTGGAGGAGGTGGCACCGAGGTGTTGGTGATTGGGGTTTGTGTTGGTCCTGCCTGATAAATCCCCCCCCCCCCCGTGAGGGAACCCTCAGGAATGAGGGCTTGGTGGTTGTTACGTGTCAGGACCCAAAAGAGTCGAGAATAGAGATCAAGGAGTTCAGGCTGTGGTGCCTCAGCCAGTGTTTTCACCTCCCCTGTTATCTCCCAGCACCTTTGGGAAGCAGCTGGGTTCATTTTATTGAAGGTGTTGTTTTGCTGGCAGGTTGGAGCCGACTCGTGCTGATTCCTCCTCTGAAGGGGCTGCTCGGAGGGCACCGGGAGCTGACAAACCTCAGAACAGGCCTCTAGAGCTGGAAGCAGAGATCCAGGCAGTGCCAGCGACATGACAGACGGTTCCCCTCATCCCCCTCACCCCCCTGGGCTCTGCCTGCGGCGGGAATTCAAACAGGACGCGCTTCCCAGGGCCAAGAGGTCGCCGGATTCCGCGGCGCAGCTCCCGGCCCTGCAGTCAGCCAAGAGGGTTTGTGTGGTGGGTCAGGCCTGCAGCACTCCAAAGCCATCAGACAGCCTGGTGCTCCTCTCCCCAGGTTCTCCCTGCTCCCCTTTCCTGGATGACAGCGGCCAGGGTGACCTTGCTGCTGATTTTTGTGGGTCGAGGTACGACGACGTGGCCATTTCCCTGGACACCAGCGGGTGCTTCGATGACACCGAGCTGGATGACTCCCTGCTGGAACTGTCAGGCAGCGAGAAAGGGAACTCTCCCTTCGATTACACTGAGGAGGAGATCCAGGAAATCTTGGCAGATGACTGCATGGAAGCTGAGCAGCACCTGATCAGCCAAAGCCATCTGAGCCAGAGTGTAAATGAGGAGAGCGGAGAGGCCGAGAGCGGCAGCTGCAGCGGGGCCTCACTCGGTGAAGATGCCGCGGAGATGGTGGAGGAATCAGAGGAACCTCTGCCCCAGGAGGGTTCCACAGTCAGTTCTGGGTGTTATCCTGGCTTTTTGAGTGGAAGTGCTGGTTTGGGTGGGATCCACCTGCAGCAGGACCTCGACCTGCAGGATCTCCTGCACCTCGGCCCGTTCGCTGCCGGCCGTTCCGATGAGCCCCCGGAGGGCAATTATCTGGTGGAGGTGGAGAGAGAAGCTCTAGAAGCAATGATAGATGATTGTTTAGGATATGCTGATACAACTGCTGGTAGCTGCGTTCCCGAAGAATCTCTGGAGCCTAAAGGCCAGGAAAACCTGGCTTTGGATTGCCTGGGAAGAGCCGTGCCCGTGTCTCACCTTGGCTGGAGCGCAGCTGATGAGAGCCCAGCACCTGGGGCTGGAAACCAAGGGCTTCCCAAAGCAACAACGAGACTGTTTTCAAGGAAACCAGACTCTCCAGAGGATGGTGAAGGGGAATCTCCAGGAGCTGAGCAGCCATCAGGCAACATTAAAGTAAACTCACATCTTAATTCTTGTAGCTAAAATGTTTTTAATTCCATTTCTTTGGGTAATGTCCGTAGACACATAAGTGCTGTGTTTGTACAGGCAAAGATTTTTCAAGTGGAGCAAAATGTGATTTTTATGTAACTGTACAAGCAAAACTTACATGGAATGATTTTATTTTGCATGTTAATCCCCTTTTTCCTTACCTTTCCAGATAAGTGACACAACTGAAGTCCAGACCGTGCAGGAAGAGACAGCCAGTGGGAAGAAACCTGGCAAGGTTATTATTGCCCCACAGGAGAAGGAGAAAAGGTAATTTCTTAGCAAGTTTCCACTTCGAGAAACACGCCAGTTATTTCCTCAACCAGTTTGTTGGTTTTGTGCTGCTGGGTTTTATCCTTGCCATTTAATTAGGAGGCACCGAATTAGGGGGGGAAAGCAGTTAATAATTTACCCTGGAAGAGGGGGATGGTGCAAATGGGGAAGGAGGTGGTGAAGCCAGTTTGGGGCAGTGGTTTGAAGGCAGAATCGGGGATGTTTGTGCTGTTGTGGCTCCTCCCCGAGCACTTTTCCTGCAGATGGCAGCAGCGGAGTGGATCGGGATGGTTCCTCCTTCTCTCCCCTTCTCCTGGAGGTGCCACTTCGGAGTTTTTTTTCCCTTCAGACCTGCTGCTCTCAGGTGTTTTGTGCTTTGCTGTTCCCAGAATGGCCCTGGGTGATGTGAAAGATCTGCTTTTGAGGGCTCTCTGCGGGGTTCCTGGCGAGGTAACCGGGGCAGTGACCTGCTGGGGTCACTCATCTGACACTCCTGCTTTGCTCTGGGGTGTTTTATCTTTGCAGCTTTAGTCAAATAAATACCTTTATTTTTTTTTTTTCAACCACAGAACAGGGCTGCAAGGAGGTCATGCCTGTAACAGTTCTAAAGGACACTATGCTCTCTCTGTGTTCTGTAACCTAATTTGACAAATAATCTAAAAAAAAACCCACCCCACCCTAACACTGTTTATTATTTTAAAGGCTGAAACAACGGCCCTGCATGTCAGAGGTGAAAGCTGAGCAAAAGAAACGTTTCCATCCTGAGTGTGCACACCCACACGATGAAAAGTGTCCCCCCTGTGCCAGGTAAACCCTCAGGTGGGATGGGCTGAGGCTGCTGGGGAGGGGAAAATTGATATCCTGGCAGGAGGCCTGGCTGGCTGGACTCGTGTTCTTTGGTGGGTTTAAAGTGTTTGTTTTCAGAGGGGATTAAAAAGTGCCTGTTGCACTTTGTTCCAGCACTACCACGAACACAGTTCCTGTGCAGGCATCAGTCTTGCTGCAGGGCTGGTTTGGATGAGCTTCAGAGTTGGGGATCCCTGGGAAAAACGTTGGAAAGGGAATTTGTGTGTCAGGGATGTTCCCAAAACAGGCCTGTGGTAGCTGGGGAAAGCAGAGCTGAGCTCTGGCTTAGTGTTGGAAGGTAAGTTGGTCTTGTCAGTTCACAACTATCCCAGAATCCCTGAGGTTGGAAAAGCCCTCCCAGCCCATGGATCCCCCCCTGTACCCCATCCCCAGCCCAGAGCACCGAGTGCCACCTGCAGGCCTTCCTTGGAGACACCTCCAGGGCTGGGGGACTCCACCAGCTCCCTGGAACCTGAAGAGCTGAGGTTTGGATTTAACTCTGACACCTCCTCTGTGTCACCGCAGAGCAGAGGTGTGAAGGAAGGGCTGCTAAAAGAGCCCGGTGTGGGTTTCAGCTGAAGGGTGACATCTGATGGGGGTAGTCCTGGGATGTTCTGAAGGGCAAAACCTTCTGGTATCTTCAGTCCATGGCCTCCCACTGTGGTTATTTTGAGTGTTGTCCACGGGCGCAATAATTGTCATTTCTGGCGAGTTGTAAGGAAGTGACAGTTGTGTGGAGCCTGCACTTACCCGGGCACAGGAGCAGCTGCATAGCCACAGGGCTGCTTCCAGTGCATGAATGCAGCATCAGTGATGCAGAGGGGACGAGGCAGGCGAAGCTAAAGTGGCCTGTTTTCCCTTCCTTTCAAATTAAAAATGCAAGACGTATGTCGTGAGTCACAGAAAATCAGGCAGGGGCTCCAAGCGAGCGGGGCTGAGGAGTGAAATACAGCTCTATCTTGCTGGGGAAGAACATTGTCTGGGATGCACACAATTTGATTTTCTTATTAGGGCAAGCCTCTCTTATTTCCAAATAGCTGCAGGCTTGGAATTCAGCCCGACAGACAGCGTGGGCTTCCCCAGTTGTCACAGATAAACCCTCTCAGCGGGCTGGCTGTGCCCTGTGTGCTGTTCCCAGGCACCTGCATCTGCAGCTTTGCCTCGTGGATCCTTTGCATGGAAAATGCAGAGCCATCCCAAGGAAATCATGAAGGGAAATCAGCAGGTTTCAGAGCCAGCCGGGGGATTCCCTCTGGGAAGCAGTAACTAATCCATTGCTGCTGCAAATCTTCAGCTCTGTTTTGAGTTGCAAATCTCCTGGCATTTGTCTCAGTGTGATGTTTGCCTTTGCTATCCCATCGTTTATGTAATCTGTCTGTTCTTCCTTGCATCCTGGCTCCTGCTGCTGGGTTGTCTGAGGGAATTCCTGTCTGCAGCAGAGATTTTTGCCTTCTCCCTCATCTGCAGGTTGTCTGGCACTTGCAGGTTCTCCATAAATACAACTTTCACATATATATCTTAGATACCTACATCTTAGATATGTTATATATATCATATATTTTTATGTTGGGTGATTGAGTGCTGCAAGTCACAGTGAGTGGCTGAAAGAATAAACTTTTATATTCAGAATAAACTTTTCACATCGAGCCATCTCGAGCGAGTTGGGAGCCTCCTCTGCCTCCTTTCATTCTGTTTTCTAGATGATATCCAAGCTGAATAAATAAATTTAATTGCAGCTTCCTACAGGGGTTTAAATGCTGCTGAGGCTGCCTTGTGGGAGCTGTAAAAATGAGATGTGACTCCAGCATCTGCTCGGGCAATGGGTGGCTGATAATTGACCACACAAGATTCCTACCAGCTGTTTGTCAGCGTTTGCACTCCGTTATTGCCCTTTATCCGGCAGTAAATAGAATTATTTCCCTCTTGAGGAGATCCTCCTCAGCAATTCCGGGTCTGTGTCAGCCACTGAAGTAGTGAGGCTCCTAAAACTGTGTTGTTTGGAGCAAAATCATGGACTGGTTGGAAGGGACCTTAAAGATCACCCAGTTCCACCCCCCCTGCCGTGGGCAGGGACACTTTCCACTGGACCAGGTTGCTCCAAGTGCCATCCTTGGTCCCTCAGGTCCCTGGAAAGCTGACCTTTCTCCAGCAGGATTCCATCAGGAGCTCTCCTGGAGGCTCGGTGTGTTTGCTGGAGGTTTATGATGCTTTTAGCAATTCTTACAACCTGGCAGAAACCTGGGAAATGATTTTCTTGGATCCCTCTTGAATCAAAGGGAGAGGAGGAGGAAATACCTTATAAAGAGTCACAAACCATCTGGTCTTGCTGTAATAACAAAGATCAATATCTTTAAAAAGCAGACAGTGTGTTTAAGGTGATGGAAAGGGAGAACAGTGTAAGGGAGCATATGGGGAAACAAATCTGTGAAATACAAATGAACTCTGCGCTTGCAGACTCTGCCTTGAAAGGGTCTGGTCTGCTGATTGATGCTGAGCTGGCTGAGGGAGGAAAAAAAAAAACAACTTAATCTTGAAACAGTTCTTTCCTGCCCAAATTCATTTGGCTTGAACGGAGAGCAGGCAGGGAAGGGGCAGGACTGGGGCTGTGCTGACATGAAGGGTGGAATTACCTTTAGTGGCTGAGCCTGGGAGGGAGATATCACTTCAGAGGAAATGAAATCCACCTCCAAACCCTAAGTTTCAAGAGGTGGGGGTTGGGGTTTGGACGAGGGGATGGGGTAGGAGTTGATAAAGCAGATTTCTAGGAGGTTTATGGTGAGGGGAGTGGGAAGAAGTTACCAGTTCTTAGAGGGTGATAGTCCTGGTCGAGGGGCTTCTCTCACATGGCTTCTGCTCGCAGGGGGGTTTGCAGAGATCATCACAGCTCCTGGTTTCTAAATGAGTGGAACTTGCCTGAAAGTCTCCTGCTGAGTCTGTAGTTTGGTCTCAGCTGCTGTGGAAGGATGAGGGATGTTTTAAGCTGAACTTATTGAGGGTGTCACTGTCCCCTGTCCTGGGGTGTGATGGCCAGAAGGACCTTTCCTCTGAGCCCTGGGGTGGATGGTTATGTGAGGCACTGAGGTAAAAGCTCTTTCCAAATATTTGCGGGGTTAGGCTGCCCCTGAGACTTTCCCTCTTCCTGGAGTGAGTCACGGTGTAGTTGGCACAGCCTGTCTGCCCTCAGGCTCAGGGGTGAAAGGTGCACCCCTGGCAGCAGGAAATGCTCCCTCTGTTTTATGACCTGGCACTCAGAATGCCGAGGGAGGGAATTTACCTGTGGAAAGGCTTCCAAACTTGTGCAAAGCTGTGATTTCTTACACACCTGTGGCAGCCAACACGAACTGCTGTGCACAGTGAGGGTTTGCCTTTTGAGAGCTGTCCTGGAGAACCTCTCTAGACCCCCCCATCCCAAACCCGTGGGTTTTCCAAGAACACTTTCTAAAAAATCCCTTCTAGAAGCACCATTTTTTTGGGGTTTTCTTTTGACAAGTAATGTCAGTTTTCCTTTGGGTAAATAAACGCTGATGCTGCAGTTTCTGGAGGAGACGTGGAATTGCTCTGGAAGGGAAGGGCTGTGATTCACAGCCCCTCCCCGCGTGACTGATGGAAAATCCTCGGGGTTTTGACTGGCCAAGGACACACAGCTCACTGACAGAGCTTGACTCGAGCAAGGGCAGCATTCCAGGGAAAGGACCCGTTCTGATGGAACACGGGGTGTCTCCTCCCCAGCTCCTGGTGTGACCAGGTTGCTTTGGCTTCAGACCTTCTGCTCGCTGCCTGTTCTTGCTGCAGAAATAAAAGCTCTCTGTGCTGTGGATGTGCCAACCCTGTGCCAGGCAGATGTTCCAAACCGCTGGTTTTTCAGGAGTGACCCCCTTCATGGTTGTCCACACTCCTCCAGATTTTATTTTGCTTTGGTGAGTTTGCAGTTTATAATTTGTATTTCCTGAGTTATGCTCACCCCTGTGCACAAAGAAGAAGAAGAAAAGGTGACAGAGTTGCCTTTCAAACTTATCTTTTCCGAAGTGCAGAAGGGGCAAAGCAGCCTCTAATGACGTGACAAAGCTTTGTCAAAGCACTCTGAGGCCTGGAGATAACCAAGCTCGTTGAGGTAATTTGTGTGTTGATTTTTTTTTTTTTTTAATCTTGCTTTTCTGAGGCTGCTTGCAGTTCTGTGGGGGTTTGCCTTGCTGCTTCAGAATGTGCAAATGAGAGGATTTAACAGCACTTTGGGAGGAAAATTGGCTCCTTGTTTGAAGCGCCTGTTAGTGGAGCCTTCAGCCTTTGTGGTGGGCCAGGCAGAAGGGGCTTTGCAAAGGAGGTGGTGGAGCACAAAGCAGAGTCCCTGAAAGGACAGGCTTTAAACTCCTAAAATATAAACTTCTTCCTTTCCAAGGTGCCTTTTTAGAACGTGCTTTTCTTTTTCAAAACCCCCTAAGAGGAAAATTAAGTGCCAGCTGCAAACATTAAGAAAATGGAGGGCTTTTTTTTCAGTGAAGATGCTGTTCCTGCCTCTGTAGCAATGCTTCTCTTGAGTTTGTTTTAACTATTTGACTTCCTTTTGCAGAAATTACCCAAGGGCCAACAAGAAACCTACCCAGAGGTACAGCCATGCCCACTGGGTGAGCAAGAACTTGGCCAAACTCCACGATTTCCAGAGCATTCCCGACCACTTCCAGTGTAACCCCGTTTGATTTTTCGCTGTGTTCTGCCTTTAGGAGTTGATAACTGGCCCGGTTTATTTTAAGTGGTTTGTATTTGGACAAGTTGTCTTCTGATCTTTGAAAAGGCCAGTGGGAGTGTTCTCAGTTTGGGACAGGTTTGGAGATGAAGTTTAAACCTGGTCTGGTTGGGGTTTTTTTTTTTTTGGGGGGGCAGCTTTTATGCCTTGCACCCTTGGGACTGCAACCAACCTCCTCACAGGTCACAGGTGCAGGGGTTGTTGGATCATTTCACTGCTGGCAACTGGAAAAACTTGATCTAAAGCTTGGCATTGAATCTCGTGCAGCGATTGGGATCCCTTTGGGTGACAGAAAGGTTTAGAACTGGGAGAAGCAGCTGTGGCTGCTGTTCTGTTTGACAAAGCTCTGTGTGTGTTACTGTGAGCTCAGGAGAAGCTGCTGATGTCACTGCTGGCTTGTCTTGTTCCCTTGTTGTTTTTGCCCCTGAAAAGTTTGCCTTTTTTTGGATTGTTTTGACTTGGTTTCGTTTGTGACTTCTCTTGTAAAAATATTTAACGAGAGCTGCGCTCGAGTTTATAAATATTTTGTACCTGTTAAGTGTAATTTTCTTTTTTCCCCTGTGTTACTTGGGCCTTTCTTTCACTTGCCTTGCTGGGCTGCCCAGAGGAGTGTGACCTTGTGTTCATTGGTGTGACACAATCCAACAGCAACTCCTGATCTCTGTGCTGCCTCCATTTCCTTCTCTAACAGAGCATAAAACCTCCAAATTATTTGCAGTTGGAGAGGTTGATCTTCAAAATGCTCTTCCCAGGAGTGTCAGCAGGACCTTATGAACCCCTTTAGGTGTTTATGGGAGGGGGAATTTAGAGAGCAAATTGGGTTTACTCGTGGAGGGAATCACATTATATTTTCATTATAGTAATTTGAGCTGGTTTGGAGGTGCTTTTGGTTAATATGATTTTAACAGAGATAAAATTTAAGCTGATGTTTTCAGCGTCCTGGGTCATGCATTTTGTTCTTTTTGCCCTTCTGGAGCAGGGCAGGAGGAGGTGGCTTGGAAAAGCAGGGAAAGTTTCTCGCTGTCCCAGATGTGCAGTGACTGAGACGCAGAGCATGGAAGTGATTTGTGCAGAGGATAAAGCGGGGGGAGCAGGAGCAGAGCCTGGCACTGCCTGCCTGCACTGACTCCCACGTAACTCGACCTCTTGGGGCCACTTTTACCCCTGTAAATGTTGTCCTCAGAGAGCTTTTCCTAGGAAGAGGAGGGGAGATTTCACCTGCTGTCCAGGTCACAGAATTCCAGAATGGTTTGGGTTGGAAGGGACCTTAAGGCTCATCTCATTCCACCCCCTGCCATGGGCAGGGACACCTTCCACTAGCCCAGGGTGCTCCAACCTGGCCTTGGACACTCCCAGGGATGGGGGGCAGCCACAGCTTCTCTGGGCAAACCTGTGCCAGGGCCTGCCCACCCTCCTGGGGAGGAATTTCTTCAACCTCCTCCTGACAAGGTTTGGTGTCTGCTGGGTGCTCAGAGCAGCTTCCCTGTGCTGGACACCCCTGGCACAGGCAGGTGCCTCCTCCTGAGGTGTCTGTGACTGTGAAACCCTCATGTGGGTGGATGAACACTGCCAGCTCTGCTCTCTGAGAGGGGTTGAGGCTTTGCTGCTGAAAATTTCCCTCTTTGACACTGCAGGTGATTCATATCTGCTGAATGGTGGAGACACTGCAGGGGGAGGGAGGGATTGTGGATTAAACCCTCGGTGGAAGGACGTGCAGCGTGTTTGCTTGAGTGTAGCCAAGGGCTGTGTAGATGATTTTTTGTGTGGGGTTTTTTTTTGTTTTGTTTTTTTTTTTTTTCTGTAGTAGAATCCAGTGCCATCAGTAAAGACTGCAAGGAGCTGCTTTGTGCAGGCCCTGCGTGAGCTCTGAGATGAAATGCCTCACAATTAAAAATTTAATAGCATTCATCGACGTGTTGCAGGCAGCCAACAGCAGCTGGAGGACAATGGGACTGAAATTAAACTACTGTGTGGGTTTTTTTTCCTGCCTTCCTCTCCAAAACTGACCAGCTCTTCCCTCCTTTTGTGCTGTAAGGGGGGGGGAAGAAATTATGTCCTGAAACATAATGATATTCTCCTTTTGGCTGAGAGGATTTCCAGGTGCATCCTCTGGGTGGTATAAATAGGCTTTATTTAAGCAGTTGGTGGCACTAAGTGTGGGGGTTTTGTCAGCTAAAAAGGACAAAGTGTCAAATGGCATCGTGGGGCTCTGTCATTACTGCCACTCGCTGGCTTTGCATCCAGATCCCAAGGAAAAAAGATGGCTTTTCTGGCTGCCAACTTCGCTGCCTCCATCTGGGATCTGGAATTCAAGCTGTGTCCTCCCTGGCTCTGTCACTAATAATAAAGATTCCTCATTTTGGAGCTCACTTAAACAGAATTGATGCTGATGCAGGAGCTGAGAGAGAGAGAACCCGGCTCCCCTTGCCTCCAGACGTGTGGGCTGAAGCTCCAGCAAGGAGGAACATCCTCCTTTTAATCCGCCCGGGTCATCAGACGATTTGCCAGGCACCAGATCTGTGGAGGAAACAGCAGATATTTTAGCATAACAAGCATGTTGATCACGCAGCTTTTTTTTCAAGGAACAGCTAGAAAGCTGCCGGAATGTGGTCAGCTCGGCGCTGGCTGCTCCCGGGCTCGGCGCTAATGGCTCATTATGTGTCGTTAGGAAGCGTTTCTGCAAATCTGGGGGAAATTACTGTCGGTGTGGAGCATATGGTGCGATGTTCAGCTCCCTCCTCGGGAAGCTCGGGCTGACTGCTCGGTCAAAGAGGTGCCGGAGTTTTTTATCGGGGGGGAATGGATGTGCAGCTGTGACATTGGGTTTTGCGGCGAGGTGACCTTTGGTGTCTTTGGCAAACCCTGGCATCGGCAGCCTGCTCCTCCCCGTTCAAATCTCCTCCAGAAAGTCATTACCAGCTGAGATTGTGCTAACACTTTTCCGCCGTGTAGGTGTTTTCCTCCTCCTCGGTTGCTGTTGAACTGTCAAGGGATAAAATGCCTAATGTTCTCATTTTCCCTGGAGGAGAGAGCCCAGAGCTTGTGCTGGTGCCTTGTGGCGGCGAGGGAGGTGTGAGAAGTGGCTGGTGCCGTTGTTGTGAGCTGGAGAGGACACGCCGTGCAGGATTTGTTTGCTCCACACTCCCTCCCGCGGCTCCGCTTCCCTCGACTCGTGGGGGAGGAATAGATCGGCTAAATTGTACTTGTAGGCATAATATTACAGTGCTTGGAAGGAGGGGAGGGAGGCAAAGCGGTGCTTAACTTTAAACACGCCCCGAGCGTGCTGGCAAAGGGTTGTGTTTTGCAGCTTCTTGCTCCTGTTGTGCCCTCGGTCTCTGCTCGGTTGATTCTTGGAAATCAGCGGGATTAATCCCCAGGGGCTGCTGGGGGGGCTGCTTCCCTTTGCTTTTAGAGATCAGCAGGGAATCAGCACTTGCAGGGCTCTCTGGGCTCCCTGTCATGCCAGCCCACTCCCACTTGCCGCTTTTTGGTATTTATTGAAACCTCCCCTTTTTTTTCCAGCTCCTGCTCCAACAATGAGTCAAAATCAGCAGTCGGGGAGAAACACGCGGGGAACGTGGGTGGCCTTTGGGGTATGTTCTGCTGTGGCCCAGCATGACTTCCCTCAGTGTGTCTTGGGTTTATTTTTCGTTGATCCCTTCCCTTTATTCACTTTAAAACACCTCAGGAGTATCTGTTGGCAGCTCTTGTTGGGAATGAGGTCTCTGTTCTAAAGATGGGCTTGAACTCACACAGGCCCAGAGCCTTAATGGTGTTGGACTCTCATGAGTGACTGTGGAATTTAATACCTAACCAGCTTTGATGTTTATGACCCTCAGAAAAGCAGGATTTTAAAGAACTTCCTTCTCCTATAAGGGGGGAAAACCTTTTCCTGAAGTGTGGTCTTGTTGCATCACTCCAATCTGGAGTTGCTGAAAACTTTTCTTGAACTGGGTGGCTTGGAATCCCTCTGAGAGCTGAGTTGCTGCCAGGCTACATTTGTTTCTCCTCACTAACAGCTTTATTTCCTTACTCTCAGGGCATCAGTTACGGGACATCATAACTGGTACCTCCTCCTGCCCCGTCAGGGTGTGAATTTTGACTCTGACCCTTCGCGTTTTAATTCTGTCCTTCCCAAACTGAGCGGTCGCCTCTCTGTTAGGAAAGAAGTGGCTTAAGCCTGTTGCTGGGGAATAACAAAGTGGATATGGTCTGCATTCCCAGGGACAACTGTCTTTACAAACAGCCACACAACCCCTCCCAACCTGCCAAATTACCAGGGTGAGATTCCTCTTGAGCACCTTCTGAGGGCTGTTTGCTTGCCTGTCTGCTCCAGGATTAGGAGAGAGCATCTCCCTTATCGTTTTGCACATGCTGGACCATCTGTCCCAAATCTCCCTTTAGAGGGCTGTGGATTCCAAATGCTGGTTTCTTTCTTTAGGAGATAACAGCCGTGGCTGAAGGATTTTGCTAGGTATGGCTCTGGTGCTATTTATGGTGCAGGTTTTGGGGTTTTTTTTTTGTCCTGCAGCCACAGCGAACTCTGAACCTTCCTGGGTTTCTCCACCCAGACATTTTGGGTTGTAGTCCCTGGGAAATACAGGGAAATTCCCCCCCCCCAAGTTCTGTGGTGCGTGTTCTGCTCGGAGCAGGTGAATATATAATTACTAAATTCAGATGTTACAAGGACACAGGAGAAATGCCTTTAATCTTTTATTGTACATTATAAAATGTTTATTGCTCTGTCTGGATCAGAGGTGTTGACCTCTCCCTCTTGGTGATGGAGGAGTATGTTCTGGCAAAGGATCCGCTGAAGACACCTTTGGGGTTGGCCTGTCTTCTGAAACCAGCACGAGGGAAGCCCCTGCTTGTTCAACAGCAAACTTCCCTGTGCCTTTCTCCCAGACCAGCTCTTTTGGAAAGGCTGGTGCCAGTGGAAGAGGGGAGATGGCTCAAGTCCTTCCTGCCAACCTGTTGCCTTGCAGGGACTTCCAAACCCAGGCTCATCTGAGAGAGCAGGCTCGTGGTTTGAGATCCAAACCCTACCCAGGCCAACCTGTCTTGGCATTGGATGGAACAAGGAGGATCCTGCCTCATCCCCTAGTGCATATGGAGTGGTCTCGTGGAGTAATTAAATAAATACAGATACCCCATGGCACACTACAGAGAGGAAATCTTGTCCACGTGATGGTCCTGCATCTACCAGCTTCCAGAGCACCAGGGATCCTGTCAGCTCACAAACATCAAGCACTTGAGAAGAGAGAGGAGAACCCCAGCCCCTTTCCCGTTCATCCCCATCCCTTTTTGGGAAGGGCCGTCCCCAGCAGACACCTGCCCTTCCAACACCCCAAAACCAGCGCGGGCAGGGTAAGGAGAACCAGCCCTTCCCCACAGGAACCCTACTAAAAGAAGCATTTTAAGAACTTAAGCCCTCAGAAAAAGGTCCCTCAGGCCAGAGCCTTCCACAGCAAACAGCTCTTGCCCCTGGAGCCCTTGCATAGCAACCGGTATCATCAGGTATTCTGTCTTTTTGTTTGTTTGTTTGTTTGTTTGTTTTTTTGCTGACTGGCTACATTTTTACGGACCTTTTATCACACTGGTGGTGGAACTCAGGCCCAGCTGAAAAATACCGCGAAGAAAATGGTTGAAATTCTCCTGGAAGCCGAATAACAGCTTCTGGTGTCCCCCGGTGTTGGTCTGTGCCTCGGTGTTCCCCGGTTTGCTGAGGTGGGAGAGCACCAGTGTGAGACAGCAGAGGCAGCAGCAGTGCAGATGTGCTGCAGCCTGACCAGAGAACCACCAGGGCAGCTTCTCCTGGTGGCAATGGAAACTGGGGGATGCTTTTTTGTTGTTTGTTTTGTTTTGTTGTTGTTGTGTTTTTGTTTTTTTTTTTAAAAAAAACCCACCTGGCAGGACGTGTTACACCACACAACATCGATGAGCAAAGCGAGGCGAGAGCGCACAGCAGCCAGAATTGGGCTGGTTGGTGGTGATTGGGATGAGATTCCCTCCATCCCTGCTCGGAGGGGGGTGTCGGTGCCTGGTTGGTGCCTGAGCTCCCGGGAATTCTGCCAGGATGGAGCGACAGTGAGACCGAACAAAGACACAACAGAACCTCGCACGTTCCCAAAGACAGGAAAGTCGTCCCAGAAGGTGGAGTGTGAGGGTGGAAAGGAGCGTGTGATTCGTTGCTCCAGCCCAGCTGATCCACGAGTCCGGGTCAGCACCGCTGCTTTTCCATCTTCTTTGGGTGCCAAGGATTCTCTGAAGGATTCTCCTTCCTGGCCAGATGTTTGGCAGGACACAGGCGAGGAGGTGTCTGCCAGCAGGTGACAATCACTGGGTCTCTTTCCAGGTTGCTCTGACAATGTTTCACCTCCCCAGTCATCACGGCTCGGAGGCAGAAAGTGAGAGTGAGGGATGGAGTCCATCGGTCGGGTGACAGGCCTGTCATGCTTCGATGATATTCACTGAGGGCTTGTTTTTTGGAAACTAGGAGAGAAAAGGAAACGAAGGGAGAAGGGATGGATAGAGGGGGGAAAAAAGACAAACCCACATCAGAGATCAGTGCACTGTGCTGGTCAGTTTTTGTGCAGATTCTCGTCCCATCCCCTCATGATGATGAAAAAGGGCCAGGGCTGAGCCTTGGGCTTCTGTGGCTGGTTCATCACTGCTGCTGAGGGAGCATCAATTAGTGGACTATTTCAAATAATAAATAAATGTGAAGGGGTGGGGATGTGCCAGAGAGAATAGAAACACAAGGAAGTTAAATTAATTGAAAGAAGTTGGTATAAATTACAGGCTTGAGCCTGTTTACTAAGGCTGTGACAAACCTTTACCATCGTGTGTGTTACCAGACAGTGCTCCCGCTGATTAACTTTCAGTTAATCACAAGAGCAGTGTCCTCTTCGCCACGTGCCACCTGAGGGTTGTGGCAGGACCCAAGGAACTCGTTTTTCTTCCAGAGGTGTTCGGATAATTCAGAACTGTGGGTTTAATCCTGATTTCTGATGGCAGTTCCGACCGATCCAGAGGCGTGTCTGGAAGGCTCAGAGCAGGGAGCGGTGCGTGGGGGTGGAGGGTGTTCCCTTTCCTCATCCCCTCTGCAGGGGGGGGTGTTTACAGAGGGTTTTTTGGGTGATTCAGGACGGTGTGCCCCATCCCCAGCTCTCACCTTGCTGCGCAGGAGCCCCCCTCCCTGGTGCTCCGGGGTGCTGTTCTCAGAGGCGCTCTTGGCTTTCTCCTTGCTGTTGTTGGGCTCGTTATCTTTGATGATGTCGTACTGTCTGCAGAACAGGGCGATCACCCCTGGCAGGAAGAACCATTAGTGATCACACAGCAAACGAGCTCAGCCCCCGGAGCCTGCCGAGCTCAGAGACCCCTCCTTTGCCGGCCTCCTTTGTGCCTCCTCGGCAGCATCCACGGTTCCTCCCAAGGATCATTTCCTAACGCAGCCAGGCAGCCCTCTGGCTCTTTCCTTCCCCTCCCCGTGCCTAATTCCATGCTAAACTAGTTAGACAGGAGCACAGAAGCTTAATTATATCCCAACTTCCCTGTGTATAAATGGGACAAACAGTGTTTGAAGCCCTCAAGCCAACAACCGAGCCCTGCGGTTCGGTGGGATTTTTATTTTTGTTTTTTTTTTTGCTTTGCAAACACGGGGCCTGCTGGAATTTCTGGTTAGTAAAAATGTGTCCTCTGATCTGCATCCTCCGAGGGGGAGAGGAGCTGGAGCTGGCAGAGGGGAGGCAGGTCCTGTGTGCCAGCAGCAGGACAACACCTGCAAACGCGCAGCACAAGCTGCGAGTGGAAATTTCCTCCCAGCCAGGCACGTGGAGAGGGAAGCAGGGGCAGCCACGGCACGTAAGAAGACTGCAAATGTCTGTCTCCAAAGCTCCTGTGTGATGCTTTCACCAAAGAGCATCTCTGCCTGCTCATTCCAGACACGTAGGTTAAGTAGGTCCAGGCAGATGCTGCTTCTCCCTCGCTGCAAAATACTCCTCAATAGCAGCATGAGTGTAAAACTTCCACCAGATCATCCCAAACCGCTCTGGGAAGTGAGCTGTGGTTATGGCAGCTGCCCCAGGGTTCACTGGCATACACAGAGATCCCGGCCCTTTCTTTGGGAATGTGGACAGAGGGCTGATTCTCGGAGAGCGGGTGTTAACATCTGCCACGGTCACAGGGGAAAACCGAGGCACAGAGCAGCAGAACTGCCACGAAAAATGCCAGAAACACAGCACAGGAGTTCAGGGCTTGGCTCCATCCAAAACCCTGGGCAGGGACTGGCTCCAGGTTGGATTTGCTCAGTCATCATCACACAGGGCAGGTTAAGAGCTGGAGTGAGGGTTTGTTTTTTTTTTTTACACTGAGACTTTGTAAAGAACCCACTCGATGAAGAGAGGTCCCTCCCAACCCCCTCTCCTTTTTAAATGTAAGTCATCTGTCTGGAAGGGAAATTGTGGGATTAGCAAATTCTTTGTTCCCAGCTGATCTGAGTTTCAGATTATTCTACAGGGGCAGATGAATCAGTTGTTCAGTCGCTCCATGTAATTATTCATGATTGTTTTTTCTGGCAGGGCATTTAAATTTGGATGTGCACAAGTAAAACTTGGCATAGCTGCTGAAAAAAAATCATGGGCTAGAGGTTTTGGAAGCCCTTTAATTTAGTTTAGGGTTTTGTGTGGTTATTGTCTTTGGGAATAACTCCTGTCCTGTCTCTGGAGGTGCAAATAAGGGCAAAATAAATGTTCTCCATGTCAACTGAGCCATTCCCCCTGGAGAGTGAGGCTGAGGGCATTATATTCATGTCATTCTGGGAAAAAATGAGATTACAGGATTAGCCTTTGGGAATTGGCTCCATCAAGTGCATTATCTGCTCCTGGTGGATCAGACCAGATCCACTGATTCACCTGCTTTTGGCACTGCCCGACCTTACAGCTGAGAACTCCTCACTCCTTGGGGGAGGAAGGGTCTCTTTTCAGGCCTTTTTCCATGATTACACATGCAAACCAAGCCAGCCATCCCTCCCTATGGATATTCCATGCTTTTGAGGGAGAGGTTGAACTGACCTGCCCACATAAACAACACCACAACGATGATGAGAATTTCCCCCGCTCGCAGCTGTTGGTTTTTCTTCGCCATCTCCTTCATCGTCACCTCATCTGCACAAAAAGGGGGGGAAGAGAGACATGGAACCAAACACCCTGGCCCAAATCTGGGGGGTGTCAGGGTCACAGCTCTGAGGGAGTCCTCACCCTGACAGGAGGGCAGCGTAGGTTGGGTGTCAGGAAGGAATTCCTCCCCAGGAGGGTGGGCAGGCCCTGGCACAGGTTTGCCCAGAGAAGCTGTGGCTGCCCCATCCCTGGGAGTGTCCAAGGCCAGCTTGGAGCAACCTGGGCTAGTGGAAGGTGTCCCTGCCCATGGCAGGGGGTGGAAACGGATGATCTTTATGTCCCTTCCAACCCAAACCATTCCATGGTTCGTTCTCTGATTCTGTGGAAACACAGCTCCCAGTGTGGAAACCTTCTCTTCCTCCTCGCTTTGCCTGTTAAACCTCATCTGGAACTGGAGAAAGGAGCAACCCGCCTCGGCAGCACCTCCCTGTCACCTTGTGCACCCCTGAGGCGTCCTGCTCGTCCCCTGGGGGCTGTGAGAGGACACTTTGTGTGTTTATCCCAGCCATTCTACCTGCACAGGATCCCCTTTCCTCCCTGCAGAGCCCTGCCCTGCCTGGGCGTCCCAGGGCCCACGGAGGAACTCACCCAACACTTGCCTTTATTTTTAGAGGCTAGTTTCTCAGCTTCCCTGGGGGTCTTGAAGAGGACTGGCTCACTGGCAGGGCTCTGGCCTTGGATGCTGATGGACTGGACGTGCACAATGTACTCAGTGTCCTCCTCTAGGTCCCAGAGGGCACAGGAGCGGGTGGTGGTGTTCACCTCCTGGATGAAGCGCAGCATCCGCACGTCCTTCTTCTGGAAGCCGAGAGAGGAGAGCACAGAGTGGTGGGGAGGCCTCCCACACGTGCACTGCTGTCACCTAAGGCCACCTTGCCTCCTGCCCTGCCCGCCAGGGACGCGGGGAGCCATCGGGCCCTTCCCCTCCCTGCGGCCGCCAACGCACCGAGCGCCGCTGCAGAGAGGACAGGGAGCCGAATCCCCTCGGACCACGAGGGACAGGATGAGAAGGAAAGGGCCTAAACTGCAGCAGGAGGAGGATTTGAGGGCTGAGGGGACCTGGGGGGAAGGGGGGTGGGAAGATAAACGTGACTGCAGGCACTGTACCTGCTGGGAAATCGCAAATCCAATGACAACTTCGTCTTCCAGGACATCCCAAGTCACAACGGCCGAGTTGGCTTTCAGGTGTTTGACTGTGACATTTACTGGAGCCGACGGGCTGTCTGCAAGGAGGGAGAGCAGAGCCTTTACAGGGGCAGGAGATGGAGCTAGAGCAAGGGAGGGAGTGGGAAAAGACCTTCCTCAGGGTCCTTCCTGGGTTTGTTTCTGGATGTGGGAGCTGGGAATTGCAGGTACTCCGCGTCTCGATTCCCAGTGAGGTTCTAAGAGATCTTTCCTGAGAGTATGAGTGTCATCAGACATGGGTTCAAACTGAAAGAGGGGAAATTTAGCTTAGATGTTGGGAGAAATTCCTCCCTGTGAGGGTGGGCAGGCCCTGGCACAGGTTTGCCCAGAGCAGCTGTGGCTGCCCCATCCCTGGAAGTGTCCAAGGCCAGGTTGGAGCAACCTGGGCTGGTGGAAGGTGTCCCTGCCCGTGGCAGGGGGTGGGACTGGCTGAGCTTCGAGGTCCCTTCCAACCCAAACCATTCCATTGATTCTGTGTATGAAATAAACTGACTCTTGGGAAGGGTTTCTTTACCAACACAGCCAAGCCCTGAGCAGCTCATTCATCTCCTCCTCCCCAGCCACGCTCCACGTTCTCTCTGTTGTTCCCTAGTACGGTCTGACAGTGACAGCTGGGAGGAGATGCAAAATCTGCCTGGGAAGTATGCAAAGGGAATGCTTTGATGAGCACTCTGGAGGTTTGAATTGCAGGAGTAGTAACTGGGAGCGTTTCTTTGGCTTTTCCCTGTGAGTTTGGCAGAAAATGTTTCATGCAGGTTTTGTGGCCGATGTCGGAGGACATCCAGGAACCATCCACCCGCAGCTGGCAGGACCCACCGAGGGATAGAGCACTGGGAGAGGATAGCAATGGCCTGAGGCTCTGTGTTTATTCCCAGTTCCAGTAGAGTGGCTCCCTGGAGCTGCCAGCCCTGCCAAGGAGAGCTGGACTCCTGCACACCCTCCCTGGGAGCCTCTTCCCAAGGGAGCTTGCACAGTCCAAAGCCCTTCTTGGCATCTCTGACAAAGGTTTTACCTCGTAGGTTTGGCACAGCTCTCCCAGCTGGACTCTGTTCCCTCTCCTCTGGTCACATTTAATTCACAATCTCCAGCTTGTGCCCTGAACCCAAAGCAGTAAATGCTCTAAATAACCCCAGGAGGGTGAGGATTAGCAATTTTTTTTTCCTGACTTTTATAAGAAAATAACACTTTTGTTGCAGTGGAATCCCTGCCCAGCCCCTTTGGGGCCGAGGCTGAGGTCACCAATAAAAGAGGGGGGCACGTGTGCCCATCTCCAGTAACACTTGTTGGATTTATAGTCAGTCCCAGCCGCCTGGATGTGGCTGAAAATATTCAAGCTGTAGTGTCAGTGTCTCCAAACAGCTGACATCACTCCTGGTGAATGTTCCCCTGGGAGCACAGAATTCCCCAGCTGAAGGTCAGTGCTGTCCTCCACTCATGGAGCCTCCCACACCCCCCAGGGAGTCCCGGAGGAATGGGGTGTCTGGACAAGAATCAGACCCAGACCAATTCCAGAGGGTCTTTCAGTGAGCAAAAAGGTTGCTGAATGGCTAAAGTTGGGGCTTTGGGAGGAGCAGCAAGTGATTGTGGTCTCAGGATTTCACAGGGGATGTGTCACCCCTCTCTGGGGCAGAGGATGGAGTCGGTGTTGACCCCACAGTGTTCCCATCTCCCAGGGGCTGGCCCTCATGGAATGAGGCAGTGTTCCCCAGGCAGCTCTTGGAGGAAGGGAACACTCATCATCCTCACCTTCCCCTGCAGCAGCAGGGCCAAGGACAAGCTGAGGAGGGAGATGGATCATCCTCCCCATCCCCAACACCAACCCCTGCTGTGGCACCGGGAAGGGACGTGGGTCTGCATCTCTCACCTTCCCCCGTGCCTGAACCTACCAGAGTCGGCTCTAATTTTAGGAAGGGGCAGTCAGCAGACAGGAATGTGCACAGGGAAGGTCTGTGAGTCATGCCTGATGAATTTGCTGGAACATAGGGAGAGGGCATGACGGAGTTGAGGGGCGGGAGACAAAACAGTCTCCAGCTGCAGCCGGGCCCTTCTGCACCCTGAAATCCTGGCCTGGTTGTCTTTCCTGCATATTTTTAGGAGCTACATTTTGCTGGTTTTTTTGGGTTTTTTTGGTTTTTTTTTTCTCCCAGGAGCTACCACTCAGCTTAAGTTGAGGAGGCTTTGGAAAAGATTAATTAACCCCATAGGAACAGAGAGCAGGGATCAGGGGAAAAGCTGGGAAAAGGGAACACACAGCGCTCTGCTCTTGGCCCCCTTTGAAATTTGTGACCTTGAGGGAGGCACAGCGTAAAAAAAGTGTCCCAAGTTTCCCCATGACATAAAACGTGGGGGAGCTGGGAAGACCTCAAAGAGCTGGGGAAGAGCAAAGAACCCTCTGGGAAGTGGTGTGGGAGAGGCTGGAGGCAGGAGGGAACACTTGGCAAAGCTGCAACCCAAGAGCTCAAAGCCTGCAAAACCGGAATCTGAATGGAGGTGGGGGAGGAATCATCTGACGTGGGTGGTCAGGAACATTCTAGAAACCCCCCCACCCCCTTGAAGTAATACCTGAGAGAGAGGCAGACTAGTTGGAGTCAGCAGCTCTAAAATCTGGGAATCTAGGACAGCGGATGGGAGCGTGCCTTCCCTTGCACTGCCACAGGTTAGGAGTGGCTACACATAAACCAGTGGTGTCAAACCAGCATAAAAAAGCACCGAGAAAAGAGAATTAAACAGTGTTTGCCAGAAATACGAACCCAGGAGAAATGAGCTTCCTGCTCCCAGGGCTGAGGGAATAACTTGGAAGCGACATTTTCGCCCGTGAGGATGCTTTTCCTCGCCGCTCCCGGGAGATGCACAATGAGATCATGACTTCCTAAAATCTAAGCACTGTTCCAAGATATCCCACGTGACTTTTGGCTCCCTGGGCCCCGTTGCAGCTCTCTGTAGGGCCAGCCTGGCAGAGATCAGGTGGGGAAGGCGCAATTCCTGCTTCCCAGCTGGCTGCAGGGCCTTGAGGTGCCAAATCCAAACCTTTGCTTCCTCCCAGAGTCATGTGCAACTCCTGGAAACTTTGCTTCTGTGCCCGTGGCAGCCAGGCAAGGTGCTGGTGTCCAGGGAGCTGGCACAGAGGGTGGGATGGCTGCAGGGATAGCAGGGAATATGTTGTGGATCAAACCTGTTTGCTACAGGATCCCCTGAGGGCAGCACATTCCCTGTCTGGTCCTTAAGGGACCCGTGGGGTGCAGTATTCCTGGTTTAGCAGTTTAGCTTCATCCCCAGCGCAGGAGCTGTGATGCTGCTGGAACAAATCCCACCCTGCAAACTGGCAGAGGATCTGCTTGGCCAAATTTGGATGGAAAGATACTCCTGTCCTCGTATCAGCAGAAAGTGGCCCCTCCTTCCCCCTGCAAGGGGGAGCCTCGGTGATATAAGAGGGAATCGAGGCTGTTAAACACAAGCAGCGGCTTCAAAGCTGGGGATTCTAAAGTCATGTCTCGTTTCCTCCCCACAGGATCCGCAATCTTAGATCCCCCAGGGCTGGCTGTCCCAGCTCTGCCTCCCTCTTCACCTGGAGCCCTTTTGGCAGGTGCAGGTCGGCGCCTCCGCTGCGCAGCAAGAAGACGTGAGCCACTGGAGATTATCCCAGATCCCCTCTGGATCCTGAGAACCCCTTGCAGCCTCCCATTAAATGTTTTCCTCGTTATTAGTGGACTTTTGTTTGAGAGAGAAATCCCCCCCCACTCCTCCATGAACACTTGAGAGCTCTGGGTTGGCTCCTCCCTGGCTTTGTTATCCTGGGCCACAAAGGCATCACTGAAGGAAAGGAGGAATCCATGGAAATATCACCCCCTTGGAGGTCACTTCAGGCTGGGTGACCTCAAGTCCTGTGCCTGGGCTGTAAGTTTGGAATTAAAGAGTATCCCTGGATTTATCTCCCCAGTCAAGGGGCCCAGCCTGGTCCCAAAACCTCCCTCTGTCCTGGAAACTCCAGTCACTTGGAGGTGCCTGGAATTTCTTCCTACGTGGCTGAGGCTGTGCTGTACTCCCAGCATTTCCCAATTCCATTCTCTCCTCTCCCAGACAGCTCCTTTCCTGCTGGGAAGGGCTCAGAGCCTCAGAGTCCCAGGAACGCGGCCCAGTGAGCCGAGTGCCTGCCGAGGCTCTGAGGCAGCTCCTTCCATGCTTTTCACCTGCCAGCTGCCCTTTCCTGCAGGAAGCAGTGAATGCCAGCCTTAAATCCCAGCAGCTCTTTATCCCTGCACCCTGCAGATGCGGGAGATGGGAGGACACGACCTGCAAGGGGAAGGAGCATCCGTGAGATCCGTGTGATGTTCTCGGTGTGGATTCACACAGAGCTGCTTTCGCTGCCTCTCTGAGCTCTCTCTGAGCTCTCCCAGCGTGGATCCCATCAGTGGATATAATTGCTTGCAGGGTGTGTAGGAAGGGCTGGCACCTTGCTCAGCGTTCCCGAGGGTTTTAATGAGGGGGAACCCCAGGGGGGTGCGAGGGAGCAGCGCCCGTCCCGCTCCCGGCCCCGTGGGAAGCGGGGCTGTTTGCTGAGCTCGGGCAGTTCCCAAGGGCAGAAAGACCAACTGGTGGTTCTTCAGGCTGGGAAAGAGGCAATTATTTCCCTCTGACCGCCCACTTCCCTGCAAAAACAGGGATATTAATAGGGCAGCCCCCTCCCACCCACCCCTCGGCTCTGCTGCCGATTCCCAGGGAGGAGGTGCCCAAACGTGAGGGTGGACAGAGCGTGGAGATGCTCACTGTGTCCATCCTGCCCGCTGGGAGTCCCTCAGGGCAGAAGGGAGTGGTGTTTGTGCTCTGGGGAGTCCCACACTGTGCCAAGCCTTGCAGCTTCATTGCTCAATACATTTCTGCTTTTAACTGAATTATACTCGATTCAGGCCTTAATTCAGCCTCTGGGCACTTTATAAACCAGGAGGGGTTTATTTAGCAATAAATTTCTGAAGGATGAGCCGTGTCTGGTACCAGCACATGGATGGTACTCCGTGGAGGACCCTCTGCATGGTTAATGCCTGCAGGCACGTCTCTCTGAGTGGAATCTCCCTTTTCCATAGGTATATTCCCAGCAGGACACAGGGTTTGGAGGAGGATGGCACAGCAGCATCCCTGCTGAGAGGCTGACATGGAGGTTGGAAACCTCCCCGCTCCAATTAAACCTCTCCTGCACGGAATGCAGAAATCAATAGAGTGCTTACGCCTGCCCTGAGCTGGCCAGGAATCTCCGTGGCCTCCGGGATGGAGGGAAAGGGCTGGAATGGGTTGGTTTGCTGTTCCCAGGGAGCTCCCAGAGCCATCACTGCTCCCTCCCCGCTGAGCTCGTGGCTCGGTCTGACCCTGCCCCACCGTGGGTGAGCTCAGCTCCCTGGGCTCAGGGGGAAAGGGTGAGCACGTCCAGGAAGGCACAGGGCAGGAATCAGCACCTGGAGCTGGGTTGTCACCTTTGCTTTGCTCTCCTTGCCCCCTGAGGCTGGGGGGCTGCCTGGGGAGGGGGTGAGGACAGAGACTCAACCTCAGCAGAGGAGGAGGTCTTCCATCATCTCCCTGCTGCTCTTGGAGCCCTCAGCAGTGCCCTGAGCCCAGCCCAGCTCACCCCCCTCTTCATTAGCTCAGCCTAACGAGGAGGGAGCTGCTGGCAGAGCAAGGCCGTGGCAAAATTAAATCCTGTCTCTGACTTGCCAACCATCCCGAGTGTTTCCTCAGGGACCCTCCGGAGCAGGAGCAGCAGGAATGACTCGGAGGGCACAGATGGGACGCTGAGGGCTGGCAGAGAGTGTTGGTGTGGAGGTTATTTCTCAGCTACTTTTTCCTCCTGGTCCTGCTTCCTGTTCTTGTTCACCTTGGCATCACCTTGCCAGAAAAATGGTCCCGTTTGGCCTAACCCCTGTTCAGAGCAGGGCCTGTGCTCGGTGTTGCTCACTCACTCGCCCTTGCTGTGGCTTTGCCAGGGGGGAATTTGCACCAATTCCCTCCTGGGAACAGCAGCTTGAACCTTTCACAACGGGAGTTACTTTAAACCCACTTGCACAAGCTCTAGGTCCAGAGGGAAAGGACCCCCAAGCCTCCATCCCTGCCTGGGAATGATTTCCTCTCCGTGGGCTTTTCCAGTGACTCTTGGCTTGGGTGCCTCGGTGGCCTCATGGCCACACCATCAGGTAGAGCTGGGGACACAGAGCTGGTGGTGGTGCTGCCACTACCTCCGTGTGACCTTGGGAAAACCACTCCAGACCCTCATTCCCCTGTTCCTTCTCTGAAAAACAGGGGCAGGACAAGTTTGCTGCCTCGCTGGGGGCGTGGGCAGAACTCATCACCACCCTTGGCAAAGGAGGCACGCAGGGAGAGGAGGCAGCAGGGCTGGGTGGCCCAACACCAAGGTCATCCACGTCCATCAGAGCCCAAATCTGAGCCTCCTGCCTCCCCAGCACACACCATGCCCATGAGACAGGGCAGCTCTCCGAGCCCACGGGGCTGCCCAGCTCCTAACGTGGCACAGACACCTCGGGGCACGGGCAGGAGCAGGGGGTGGTCATGGGCAGGGGCACAACTCCGTGTTTACTCCCAGTTTGCCTGACCGAGGTGATTCAAGGATAAGGAAGAGCAGGGAAGTGGCCTAGTTTACAGAAAATCGGCAGGGCTGTCACAATTGCAGGCGCCTCCATTGTGCCGCGGTGTTTTCCTCATCGCTCCCTCCTCCTGGGAATGTTTTCATTAATCTCCCCGGGTCTGTCAGTTGTGAAACGGCAACTTCAGAGGCCAAGGATGGATGTCAGAGCTGAAGGAATTCGGGGGGGGGGGGTGGGTTGCTGCAGCCCCGAGGAGGCTGAATGTAACTCCAGCAACTCCCGGGGCTGACTCGGGCAAAGGAATTTCCACTCCCTGGAGCTCCTGCATCCCTGACAGTCACCCCCAGCCTCCTGGAATGCAAGGTATCCTGGCAATCAGCGGTTTGCAAATCGAAGCAGCTGTTCCACCAACATCTTGCAGCCAACCAGGAAAGGAGACAGCCCTCGACTGCCTGCACGGAGCCGGGGAGGGCGGCTGGACTGGGCTGGGCTGGGCTGGGGAGCAGCACCAGCGCTGCCCAGTTTGCACCCACAAGCGGGGTGCTGGGGTCAAGGTTTAGCACGGCCAGTGCAGGCAGGAGTGGACCTGAGCATGTCCTGGTCGCTCCAAAATCAGGTCCAGCTCGTGGGGCCCTTTGCCTTCTCCAAAGATCCCCCACTCCTCAGCTCAGCTCAGCTCAGCTCAGCTCAGCTCAGCTCAGCTCAGCTCGGAGGGGCCTGCTTTCCAGTGGCTGGGACGTGCTGTGCCCCTGGTGAGGTGGTTCTTCTGGGGCCGTGGTGCTCTCCCAGCTCACAGAGCTCCCAGCTGGGCCCCGGACAGCCGGGGGTGAGCCGGGCAGGGGGATTGCCGAGGCTGACGTGCCACGGCATCGGCAGAGCAGGTCTGGCTTTGCCCCCTCCGCTCCAGTCCACCCCAGTGACACGAACCGGTGCCGCTGCTCAGGTGCCCGAGAGCTTTCGCCTCTCCGTGCCCAGCGCTGCGCGAGGGGCTCGGCTCGCTCTCCCTGTCCCCACAGCGCATCCCCACGAGCCACCTTTCCCGGGGATGCCCGGCTGGAGCGCCCACGCCGGGACCCCGCGGGGGCGAGCGCCCGGCGCTCCCCGAGCCCGGTGCCGCGGGGCTGCTCTCCCGAAACCGCCGCCTCTTCTGCACCCAAATCCCCACCAAGTCCCGACGCCCCCCAAAACTCCGTCCCCGGCGGTGTGGAGTGGGGGGTGTCTCCCCGCAGCGAACCCCCCTCCCCGCAGCCCCGGCAGCCTCTCCCGGGGGCCCGGCCGCCCGTACCTGCCTCCACCGGGCGCAGTCCGGCGTAGCTGAAGCAGAGCAGGAGCGCTGCACCGGTGCAGCCGAGGAAGGGCTCCATCCCCCGCGGCCGCTCGGGGCCGGGCCGAGCCGCTCCGGGCCGGGCCGGGCCCCGCCGGCGGCGCGTCCTGCGAGCTCAGCGGAGCCGTTCAGCACCGCGGAGAGCGCCGGGGCCGGTACCGCCGGGGCCACCGGTGCCGCCCGGTGCGGCGGGGCTCGGCAGCGCCCGGCTCGGCTCGGTTCGGCACGGCACGGCACGGCACGGCACGGAACGGAACGGCTGGGCTCGACCGGGAGGCGGCCCCGCCGAGCCCCGGCTCCGCCCGCTGCAGCGCCGGGCAGCCCCGCTCCGGTCCCTCCCCCCGGCCCCGGGGGCGCTGGGACGGGGGCGGCTCGGGCCCCCCACCCGGCACGGCCCCGCTCTCTGCCTCAGTTTCCCCGAGCTACCGGGTCCCGGCACAGCCCTGCCGGGGGCTGCTCGGGACACCGCGGCCAGGAGATGGGGTCCCACTCCCACCCGAGACCACCAGCGGGGACGTGCCACCTCCAGGGCGTCACTGAGCCCCTGCGAGTCACCAGGCTCTGAATTCCGTGATAAGAGGATGCGATGAGCCTCTGGAATTAACCTCTAGGTTAATTAACTGACACCCTCTGATTAGTGGTCACTAATTGATGGGAATAGAAGCCGTGACCCCAAATGCCAAATCATGTGACACCAACTGGGGGGACCCTGCTCTGACCCCTCTGCCGTGCCCCATCAGCAATGAGGTGTCCTGCTGGCTGTGATGGCACGGGGTTGGTGCCACCCGACAGGGACAGCGGGTTCCAGCAGGCACGGATGGGTCTGACTGGGGACACCCTGTCGTGCTGCAGGGGTGGGGGGTGTTGGAGCCTGTGCCGTGGATCTGGGCAGCATCACTGCTTGGCTGTCTGTCTGTCTGTCTGTCTGTCCCCACCTGCTCTGGGGGTGTGGTGTCAGTGGGGTCCCTGTGGTTTGGTTTATGGACCGATGGTTGGTCTCCATCCAACTCATCCATCCAACTGGATGAAAAGGGGGAGTGGATCAGGTGTGAGGGGCTTGGTGTCGGCAGCCTCTGCCACCACCCCCTTCCCACCCTCCTGCAGTGGTGTTGGGGACCCTCAGGCCATGCACAGACACTGCTGTGCTTGGGGGTCACAGTGAGACACCCCCCAGTTGAGGGGTGTAGAGGATATCCTGCAGAGCTCCGAGTGTCTCCCTGTCAACCAAAGCTCCTTCCAGGCACCCATCGCCCAAGAAACACTCCAAAAACCTCCACCAGAGCCAGGAGTCAGCCCTGTCCTGCCAAACCCATGCCATTCCACCCCTCTTCCCTCAGCCTGGATGCTGATAATTCCCAGCACAGTGTCTGTGTCCGTGCTCCCCATCGCGGTGCCGGGGCTGCAGCGGCTGCATCCCAGGGAAGCGCCTGTGGTGCCTCCCTTTCATCTCCTGCCTGGCAGCAGATTAAAATTTCATCACTTCAGCAGTGGAGAAGGAGCAGGGGAGGAGCAGGAGCCCCAGGCTGGCTGGGGGGGGGGGGCTCAGCCCCTCACAGAGCTGCCCACGCCGAACTCGGTGCCCACCCAAAATCCAGGCACACGTGGCTGCAGGATTTGGGCACAGCCATGCAGGGGTGGCTGCAGGCCGGGCTGCTGCTTCCCTTGGGCCTTCCCTCACCGGAGCACGAGGCTGGGCAGGAGACACTGCCGGGATCTGGGCTCCTGCTGGTGCTTCCTCCATGGACTGAGCACCTGGAGCAGCGCCACAGACCCCCCAGTTCCGAGGCAGGTGCAGCCAAACAGGCCCCAGAAATGCAAAGCCGAGGTCTCAGCAGGATGTGCCTCCATGCCAACAGCAGCAGTCTCTGCACAGGGATCTCCAAATCCCCCAGCAGCAGCGAGATGGAGGGATTGTCACACAAATCCAGTAGTTCCCAGCCTGGCTGGACCCCGTCCTATGCCAACAGTGAGGGGGCCAACACGTGGGATGGCTGATGTTTTGCCCCCATTGCTCCTGGCAGATGTGGGAGGACTGGTCCCTGTCATCCCACTGCCTCCCAGGCTCCCACAGGAGGGTTTTTGATGCGTCCTGGTATTTTTCCAGAGGCTGAACACGGATAGCACCACAATTCCTTGTTTTTTCCCTTTCCCCTTTTCCAAATAAAGGGGGAGACGTTGCTCTTTTCCAGCCCCATGACATCTGCCACCCTCAGCAGGTGCCCTGGGACCTCCCAGTGGCACTGAGGTCCCCTCCAGGGCTCAAGTCTGGTCTGCCCCTGGATCCCTGGGACACACCACACTGTGCTGGTCCTTTCCCCTTTCCCACCACTGGACAAGGCTTTTCGGGGTGTCCTGGCCCCCCTGGTCCCCTCTGAGCTCAGTGCAGTGTGGATCCTCCCCCACCTCCCCAGCCCATCACTATTCAAGTCACACGAGCCCATCGCGCGTCGTCCCCGTCTGCCAATTAAGTCATAGCTCTAATTACGCACTCAGGCTCCGCAGACGCTCCTCTCTTCCCTCTCCCAGCACCAGACGGACACCTGGGAGGCCGCCAGCTGTCCCCTCCTCTCACCCAGCCCCTCCTGTCCCACCTCACCCTCAGCACGCTGGGCTGGGCTCTGGCAGGAGCTGAGCACAGAGACACGGCCCTGTGACACCAAAAACTGTCCCCAGGTCGGTGCTGTGGGGCAGGGCCATGGGGAGGGGCCTCCTGTGCAGCCCAGGAGGGAACTGGATGTGTGCAGAGATGCTCTGGATGCCCTCCAAGAGGGACAGTCCCAGTCCTGGGGTCCCCAGGGGACGATGTGAGGACAGAGTGATGTTGGCAGATCTGGGGGACCCTGCTCTTCTGCTCCCCAGGACCCCCTGTCCCCCAGAGCTGCAACTGCGCCCCAGGAGTATCTCAGTGCCCCCCAAGCATCACCTGCACCTCTCTGTGGCACCCCAAGCTCTGGGGGTGAAGGTTCCCTGCGCCCCATCACAGAACATCACCCGTGTGGGCACCCACCGGGAGCTGCTCCAGGGTCTTGTTCCCCCCCAGTCCCAACCCCGGGGGGCTCCTGTCTGGATGTGGACACCCACGAGGGGACTCTGCATGTTTGGGGGGACCCGTCCCCGCATCGCCGGCGCTGCCGAAAGCCGCTGCTGCCACCTGCCGTCATCGAGCCGGGTCCGTCCCCGCGCAGCGCCGGGTGAGGCGGGGGGGACACGGCCGGGACCCCCCAACATCCCACCCGAACCCCCGCGAGGCGACCCGCAACCCCACTCCCCGCGGGGCCCTGCCCCGGGGGGCGGGGATAGACACGAGGGGACGGGGGGACCACGTTTTGGCGCCCCCCGATTCGGAGCCCCCCTGCTCGGACTCCCCCCAAGCCCACTCCCCCTGAACCCACTGCCCCGGCTGCAGCTGCCCCTCCCACCCCGCATCCCCGAGGCTCCTCGGTCACCCGTGAGATGGGGAGGGAGGCCACGAGAGGGAGCCCCGGGCTCGCGCGTGGCCGTGGCACTGATGGGAGTGGTGTCAGTGGTGGCACTGGTGACACTGAGAGCACTGACAGCAGTGGTGGTGGTGGTGGTGGTGGCACTGGCGATGGGGGCGGCACTGCTGGCACTGGTGGCAGCGGTGATGGCGTTTTCCCCCTCTGTTCCTTGAGGAGGGCGGGGGGACAAGGGCCAGACCCCTCTGGGTGCCCTCCCGCTTGCCCCAGTGACAGACCCCCCATTGTCACCCATTCCTGCATCAGCAGGACGGTGGCATCACCTCCACATCCCTCCCTCCCCCCTGCTGGGGCACGGCAGGGATGAACCACAGGCCCCAGCCAGCCCTGGGCATGGCCTGACCCTCGGCAGGATCCAACTGGGGTCCCAAACTGCTGGGCAGGATGAACTGGGGCACAGCCAGGCCATGGGTGGTCCCCAGCACGGCCTGGGGAGCACCGTGACCCCCCCAGGCAGGATGAACGGGGACAGAGCCAGACCGTGGGCTGTCCCTGGCTCGGGCAGGTGACACAAACTCCATGAGCCTCTGGGCACGGTGACAAACCCTTTGAGGCTTTGCACTTCCCCAGCCGCTGCCAGGGGAGGTGGCACAGAAAACTGGGCACCACGGTGTCCTCAGCACCCCAACACCACCCCTCCCACAGCCACTTCCAGAGCTGGGGACACCCCTGTGCCCCAACTGCCCCGAAACACAGCCTGGTTCTGAGGAGGGCACACGTGCCCAGGTGCCAACGCCCCGCGGGGACAAGGACACTGTCCCCAGGAGCCCCGACCTTGGCAAGGTGAGCCGTACGTGCCGCAGGGCAGCGCCCCGGGCGTGGCACGTGGGGACGAGGGGATTTGGGGCCCTGGGGACACGGGATGGAGCCACCCCCTTCTGAAAGGTTACGAAACCTCCCCGCACCCCCGCGGGGAGAGTGGCTCCTGATCCAGATGAGATCGGGCATCACAAAGGGCTTTGTATTCCAGGAAGCCTATTAGAGATTTAAATTATACAAATGGGCTTTTTACCAAAGAGCCTCATTATCTGGTCATTTGCTTTTAATCCTCGGCTCTTCCCCGCAGCCCCTGCCCCGTGCCCTGCTCCTCTTGCCTTCCCAAAGTCCTCCCTGGGGACCTGTGTGGGCACAGGGACAAGCCCTGGGGTCAGTGTGGGCCCCTGGGGAGGGGTCTGCTGGGTATCAAGGACACCCCTGGTTGGGTTCACTGGTACAAAGAGGGGCTGAGCCCCTCTGGCTCTGCCCTCTCACCTCCCAGTTCCTCCCAGTACCCCAGCAGGCTGCAGGGTTGGTGGCTGTTAGTCTGTTTAGAATCAACCTTTCTTAGGGCCCATTCACAGGACACGCCTGGGCTCCTCCTGTGCCACCCTTGGCTCTGTGGGATCCCTAGAGGATGCTCCTGAGGGCACTTGGGGCTGGTGAGGCGGATGCTGGACCCCAAATCACCAAACCCTGGGCACTCTGGCCACCATCGACCCCCATCGGCTCGGGGACCACACCCAGAGCTATGAGAGGGCCAGAACACGCTGCCCTGCCCGCAGGGACACGGTGATATCCCTGCCGAGGTGTCCCCTGCAGCCCCATCCCAACCTGCTCTGCTGCAGTGAAGCCTCAGGGGCTTCACGGCTGCTATGACAACGCAGGAAATTCCCACAGAAA